ATGCAGGTAATCAAATCGTTGAGACAATGTCCTTGCTGGCTGAAATGTCAAGAAACTGTTTTTTCTTTGTGATCCTGTCTAATATCTGTTTTGTGGGCATTAATCCTTTGGCAAAGTGTCTGAGACGTTTGTCCAATGGACCTAATCAAGTGAGTTATAAGATCAAGAACACATATTCCTGCGCATCCAGAAATATAATTTATGCTATCATGTGCCAAAAGTGTCCATTGGACAAAGACTTGTTAGTCTTTAAAGTGCTACATAGTCCTGCTTTTTGTTTTACACCAGAATAACACGGCTACATTTCTATCACTATCCCAGTTGAGTAAGTTATTCTTGACCTCAACATATTTTCTACATCTACCTCTTTATTAAAAATAATGTTCCTTCCAAAACCCACAACACAAATATTAAGCCTTTACGTAAGGCAGCTATAAGTAACTTAAGTAACTACAAAATTTTGCTAGTAAAATAGGCTCCCAACACTCTAGAAAATGTTAGTCTAAACTACTAAAAATGGAAACGAAGAATGCAAAATGCAAGAAATTCTGATGGACAAAGTATTTATAATTTACATTTAACAAGTAAATAGAAATAAAAAATACACAAATGTGATCGAACCTCTGTAGTCTGGCTTTCTGGTCTAGCAACATCCGTGGTCCTTGATTTTTAGTTAAGCCGGACGTCCAAGTAGCCACGTTTCCAATGGTCCCATAAAGTTTGCTTATAGCCACCAGTCCTGGCACTGTGTTCTGTGCTATTATTTAGGTCTAATTTACCCCTAAATGTTTTCTAAAAGTCCAGTAAGCAGTGGAAGTGGTGGTAATGCTGCTAGACAATATTGACCTCCTGTGGTTCAGCAAATTCTTTGGTTGTGCAGTGGTTGAGTCCCAAGGCTGCCAGACTAGAGAGTTTCTACCTGTAGTTAAAGCTATAGGAATATTATTTAACTTCTCTGAGCAGATAAGGTGAGCTGCAAAATAGGGATGTAAGCAACTAGTCACTTCTCCACCCCTTTGCTGCCTCTCTGATAGAGCCAGCAAGGGGGGAAACCGGCTTAAAAGCTGATTCCCCACAGCACCATCTCCATGGGGGCAGGAGCACAGCAGGGAACTGGAAGTGCTTCTACTTTTGAAATGTAGCAAGAGTGGAGTTCTTACTACATTTCCAAAGCAGAAGCACTGTGGGAGTAGGAGGCTAGCAGGGGACTCAAGCAGTCTACTGGCCCTGTGCTCCCCGCAGCACTTGAGCCTTTAAAATGTAGCAAGAGCTGGCAGGATTCTTGCTGTATTTCAAAGGCGAAGGTGTCCTTGTTGACTAATTGAATAGTTGATACAAATTACAATGACTATTCAATTAATTGATCTAAATTTAACGTCTTTGCTGCAAAAGATCTTTTAAAAATGTGGTTTGGTCCTTTTGTATATTGCTGAATAACTCGGGGGGGATTAAATTGTTTGTAACCTTAGTAACACTAGAAATATCAAGTCTGTGTTTGGATGGAGGAAATGGACTAAGCATGTTTGTTGCTCTTCCACCTTAAGTACTAGAATAGAAAAGTTGAATTGGACACCTCGTCTTTTTTTTCTTCTTCTTCTTCTTCTTTCAAAATGGCCACTAGGCACTGGAGGTAATAAATCTTGTCTACCCTAAAAGCCTGGGGCAGCTTAAGTTATTTGAATTGTTTTTTAAAAAAACTAACCAACCAGAAAATGCATTTTAAACAAACTTTCCTGCCTTTGTACACTAAGTACTATAAGCCTAATTACTTCAAGTAGTATTCCTTTGGGTCTCTTATTCAGGTGCTTATGCACATCTCAGGCCCTTGATCCGCATTTTCTAGCGAGAAATGTCCATTCCCTGCACATCAACCCCTTGCTTCCTCATGGCAGACACTGAGGCTGTATAGGGGTACATATGTGAACTACCCTCATCATTTGAGGCACAATGCTTGAAGTGTGCCTGTCATCATTGGTACAGCCATAGCAGCCTCAGCTGCAGTGTCCCTATCTGTTGCCACGGGAGTTCTGATACTTGAGGGACGAATCAACTGAGTCTCCATTGCGGTCCAGATACCAAGGATGTCTCAGTGCAGAAACATTGGTCTCTGTGTGGCTGCTCCATGGCACTTGACTCTCTCATGCTCAGTGACTGTCCGTTATGGCAGGGGTAGGAGATCTTTTTTGGGTCGGGGGCAACTGACCCACAGAAAATCAGTCAGAGGCCGCGCACAAGTGAGAAGCAAAGTGAGAGGAGCCCCTGACTGAGAGGGAGAAAGACACTCCCCACATTCCTCTTGCACACTAGAGCTTAGTGGGGCACAAGCTAGTAGATTTTGTGTGCTCCAGACCTGTGGTTGGGTGGCATGGGGGACCGAGCACCAGTGTGGGCTCCCCAGTGCTGAGCCATGGGAGCCGGATCCAGGCAAGCCAGGGGCCAGATGTGACCCCTGGGCCTGAGGTTCTCCATCCCTGTCTTATGGGAAGATGCGGAGGAGTAAAAGGGCTGCCAATTAGTAGTCTTCTCTGTGGGGGATTCTCCTACATCTCCCTTCAGGAAGCTACCTTTGCGCAGGGAGGTCCTTGTGGCTCACCAAGGATGGTGGAACCAAACTTATATAGCATCTTCGCCCCCTGCAATGACCATATTGAGATCCATGGGCTGCCTACTGGCAATGGTGCAACTGACTTCTGCTAGTCTCCCTGCTAGAGGCCTGGGTTTCACATCCTCCCTCTACCCTTTCATGATAGGAGATATTTGAGGAACAGGATGCTAGGTCAGATGAGGAAGTCAATCCGACGATCACAATTTTGTCTCCTCATTGGATGAGGCTGTTGTGCTTTGCACTGCCAACAACTTCAGATAGTTCCAGGACCTCATTAGAAGGGTAGCTGATGCTGTGCAGATCTCTCTGGAGGAGGTTAGAGATCAGTAGCATAAGCTGCTGGATGTTCTGTAGTTGGCAACAGGCTCTAGAGGCATGCTACTTGTTAATGAGGCGCTCATACTTTTGGATCTGCTACTTTCCCACTCAAGGTGAGAATTCTTTGTGCTCAGCTTATGCCCCTTTTGCCCAAGGCAGGAAATTTAAAGGTGGGAAACCAAACAATAAAGAGTAGCCAGATGCTGGAAGACATCCTTACCACAAGATGCCAGCTGGAAACATGGAAGACTGAACAGGGAGAAGGATTGGGCCTAAGTTTAGGAGGCTGCTTAGCTTTTGAAAGAGATAATTAGAACAACTGTTAGGATAAGAATTTGCATGTAACAAGTTTCTTAGTGTATTAGAATTAGCAGCTGTGTTTATTTTGGTTTAGTAACTTTGATCTGTTTTTCACTTGGAATTATTTAAATCCTAGTTTTTATATTTAACAAAAGCACTTTTGTATTATGAAGTCCATTGTAAATGAGTGTTACATGTGGGGGGGAGGGGCAACCATTATGCATATCTCTCCTGTATTGATAGAGGGCCAACTTAAAAGCTGTCTCTGTAGAAAACTTTTATACAGAATAAGGTGGATTTATTTGGGGCTTCGGTCATCTTTCAGGGCCATGCTCCTAGGTGTTGTCAAAGGCTTCATAGCTGAGTTCTCCCAGAGCTGAGTTGGTTCAGAGTCTTATTGCTCTGCTGGGAGGGCAGTAACCCCAATTTTGCTTTCTCTGGGGGAGACCAGAGCCAAGCTGGGCAGGATGGTAGGGAGCCACAGTGGGCAGGAGGATGGGCATGAGTGGTTCGATCAGGACGCTGGGTGATAATCCCAAAATGTGAGCAGACTGCAAAAAGTTCCAGTGAACTTTTGAGATAAGGAGAAACATAGCTTCTTTCCTTACACGCAGTAGTTGAAGTAAGCAATCATGGTATTCACCTTTGGCTGAAAATTTCCCAGGCATTCAAAGGAAGTGTGGCCATTTTAATGTAAAAAACTAGCTAATGCATGACTAAAATATTGAATATATATGGGCTTTGCAGTCAGGAAAAGTTTTGAACCCTGAGCTGGAAAATTATTTCCTTTCTGTTTTGCCTCTTTGGTATTCCTTCATGGCAAAACATACTTACAGACTGCCCCTCTGTTTTCTTGAGTTATTCTACCATCCTATAGACAGTATAATATTTCAACACACTTGGGAAGTGGTGGTATCTGCCCTGCTATATGAAATTCATAGTTTTTATTTTTTTCAAAACAGCTGGTAATTTTTGGTGGTAGCGTGAGGGTAATTAAAAAACAGTAGTAATCATTTTGACTAAACTGATGCAACCAGCTAATCATGCAATCTGTTAAGTCTTGACTTATTTTGAGGGAGTTCTTTTCTTAATGAACAACTAAAAATCAGTATCTGAAGTCTAAGACTTGTCTAATACAAATTCCAAAAAAGGCCAGATGTGTTAGAAAAAATTACTGAGCGAATTGAAGTGCCTGCTATTAAACCTGTCACCTGAAATTGTATGATCCAGCTATTTTGTCCCCATGACATTCAGAGTAAAGTCAGGACATAAGGCCTTCATTTGTAAAATTAAGCTTCAGATATTTAAAGACCAAATGAATGTCAACAAATACAAGTCTTGTTTCAAAATTTCTCATGTCTGCTCTAATGAAACCAATCTGAGAAACTGAGCACAGAGTGACCAGTTTGCAAAAATCAATAACCTTCAACTCTGTGTTAATTTTGTGCCACTTAAACTGGTTCTGTGAGAAACTTTTCTTGTCTCACTAATCAGTAAATGGCAAAATTCACTGAAGTTCAAGACCAACAGGAATATCTCTGGTATTATTGTTGGTCCTGAATTCTTGAACCTAAGGATTGTATATGTAGTGGGGTCAGCATTTGTTGGGCTCCTAAAATGGTTGATGTGATGGAATGTGTAAATTCTGAAAAGCCATAGTCTCATGTCTGATACAGATGTATAAGCTACATAAAAGGCAGAGCTGATGGTTGAAGCTGAATGAATGGTACTGGCCCTTTGTATACTGTATATCATAGATTTTTCTCTCTCAAATTAGATGCAGCAGTTGGAACTGGCCCAGATGCAACAAAAAGAAGCTAATCTCACAGCATTGGCAGCCATTGGGCCAAGGAAAAAGAGACCACTGGATTCACCAAACCTTGGATCTGGCCTTGAGGTATTGAAATGGTTTGCATGCTTTTGTTCCATTTTTATACTGACTTGTCATCTTTTGCTCCTTTTAGGAAAATGAGGGAAACCCTCCCTTGTTGAATAGTGTACAGAAAATAAATATTCAATAACTAAAGAAATACTAAAAGCTTTTGTTGTGGTGAACCAAGATTAGTAACCATATTCAACTAATTGTGTATTGATTAGTTTGCTGTATTCACAAGACAAAATTAAAAGAAGGATGAAAGTCTCTACTTCAGTTTCCAAGAGAAATTCCACAACCTCAGTGTTGTGTGGCAGCAGTGTAACTATTTCTGAGGTTGAGACAGGACACTCAGCAGCTAGTTGTCTAAAGGGGAAGAGAAGCTCACCCACAGGGACAAACAGGTGGTCTCTAGAAGACACAATCTACCTCCCCTTCCCAAAAGGAGTAGGAAAGAGGCAATTGCTTTTAATCCTAGTTGTTTGAGACTACCAAGAAGGTTTAGTACACAAGCTGTGCTTCCCAATGGCTTAAGAGAGTGGGTTCAAGTAATGTCCTCCTGAGTCAGTGCCCTTGTCTAAACACACAAGTTGTACCACTTTATCACAGAAGTACAGGAGGATAATTAAGCAGCATCTGTACAAAGCACTTGCATCCTTATGAGGGATGGTACCACTAAGTACTTCTTAACAAAATCACAATCACTCCCCTCCCTCCCCCATGCCAATGTAGTTATCCCTGTACAAAATCTGTGTAGAACGTAGCCTGATTTGTGGCAGGGTGCTCCTGAAGGAGTCTGGAATCTCCAGTAGGGTGGCCATGACCATACTAACTTTTTGGAAGAGAGGTACTTTTGGGTTACGAACAGTTACGTAGTGCAAGAGAGACTTTCGGTTTCACCATAATCTCAGCTTCCTTACACTTCCAGCCACTGGTTTTGATCATCCATGAGCGGAGTGAGTTTTGTCTTGTGTGCCATCAATGAGGCCATGTTCACTTGTTAAGATATGTGCTACTGTGGCACCCACCAGTGATGCTGCTCCCCAAGAGACTCCCAGATAGCAATCCCTGCCACATGGTCCCAGCTGCCGGAGCAGCCGTGGCCCCACCGCCACCACATGGTCCCAGCCACCAGAGCAACCCTGTCCCCCACCATGCAGCTCTGACCTCAGCTCGGGTTGCCAGAGCGGCCCTCTCCCACCACACGGCTCCAGCTCTGGTATTGGCTGCTGGAGCAGCTGCCCGCAATGTGGCTCCAGCTCTGGCCCTGGTTGGGGTCATCGTAGCAGCTGCCGGCCGACATGCAGCCTGCAGCTGCAGCTCCAGCCCTAGGGAAGGGCTTAAGCTAGGGCCTGGGCTGCATGGTGACTGGCCTGCTGCTTCTGTAGGGGGCGGGGGCAACCGTTTGTCACATGGCTCTGCCCTGGAACAGGTGAGCAGCCACTATGCAGACCCGCTGAGGTGGTGGGTGGGCCTCAAATTCTTGGTGCGCGCCCACTTAGGTGCGCACCTTAGAAGGAACACTGGTGGGGAATCTCAGACCCAGGGGCTGGATATGGCCCCCAGCTTGCCTTGAGGCTCAGGGCTCTCCCTACAGTATTGGGGAGCTGAAGCACACAAAATCTACTAGCCTGGGCTCCCCAAGGCTCTGCTGTGTGAGGAGAATGTGGGAAGCACGTCAGTGAGGGTTTGTTTTGAGGTTTTTTTGCTTCTCACTTGTGTGGGCCCCAACTGATTTTTTTCTGTGGGTCAGCAGTCTCTAACCCAAAAAAAGTTCCCCACCTTTGGTTTAAAAGCCGTAGACTCCAAGAGAAGTTCACAAACCGGGGACAACAAATGGGAGTTTGTAAGTGGGAGTCATAATAGAATAACTATAGTTAGGGAGCTTCAGGGGTTGGTTAAAGTTACAGTAACTGGAAAAACTTAAAAAAACAATGAATGGCACCTTAAAGACTAACAAAACATGTAGATGGTATCATGAGCTTTCATGGGTACAACTCACTTCTTCAAGCCACTTGTACCCACAAAAGCTCATGATACCATCTGCATGTTTTGTTAGTCTTTAAGGTTCTGCTAAACTATTGGTGGTTTTTTATGGTTAGGGAGAATAGCGTCACTAGTGTCAATGCTGCTCCTGTCTCTTCCACCTGCTCCTGTATTCAAAAAGAAAACTTAGATATTGATGCTTCTGTTCAGGTTCTGGCATGAGTTTCCAGCGACTGTGACCTGAGTGACTGGTGGAGTGTAATTATCAGTAATTGACTGTCACCTGAAGAGACAAGTTCTAAATTTCTTGTTTAGTTTATATTCAAGGTTCGGACTCCGGAGGAGAAAACTAATGAAAAATAATAATGATAATAAATAAAACATTTCTGGGGGCTATTCAAAGTGTGTTATGGTCCAAATTTGGCCCATGGTCTGCCTGTTGACTACCCTAAGTTTTGTGGATGATACCAAGCTGGGAGGGGTTAGAAGTATAGTATCTCTCACAGCAAAGGCACGTGACTTGTCCTCTGATATCTATGTATTTGCAGGGCTCTGTGCTAGTGACAGAGGGTGTGCCAAATCTCCAGCCACCTCTCTATCCCCAGAGACCTCCTGCATACCTGCTCTACCCCCGTTGTAACTTTGCTTGCAGCAGGAAAGAAGTACGTTCTTGGCCCTTGTGTGTAACACTGCTCCCATTGGAGGCTCAGACAACTCCATGCAGCTGTCATGGGTCCAACATGCTGTGCTTGGCTCACTGCACAGGAGCAGAGTCACACTCCCTTCTGGGAACAGCAGTTTACCTCCTTCATCTGAGAGAGCTGGGAACTACAACTCCTATCGCTATTGCTGCTTAATGATTCAGAGATCCAGGCTGGAATGCTGTAGAGCCCTGTGCAGATACAAAAATGTGCATCTGCATCCAAGCTGTGACATGCAAAAATGGGCTGTGGATGTCTGCATCAGTGGATGGGGATATGAATCAAATGTCCATGGATTTTCAGGGCTCTAATTACAAGGGCTTTGGAGGATAGGATTGAATTTCAAAATTATCTGTACAAAGTGAAGGGGAAACCTAAATTTTCAAATACATAAAAGGTGTTTACAAGGAGAAGGTGAAAACTTGTCTTCAGCCTCTGACCAGACAAGAACCAATGGGCTTAAATTGTGGCAAGAGAGCTTTAGGTTGGACATTAGGAAAAACTTCCTAACTGTCAGGATAGTGCTAGAATAAGTTGCCTAGGAAAGCTGCAGAATCTCTCACTAGAGTTTAAGAATAGGTTAGACTAGCACATGTCAGGAATGGTGTGGTTATTCTGTATTCCTGCCTTGGGTGCAGGGACTGAACTAGATGATCTATTCAGGTCCCTTCCAGATCTACATCTCTGTGTTTCTGTGGTTGCAAACTGACCCAAGACCCTATATCTTTCCATTTACCAGCCTAATTTCTGCAACTTGGTCAAAACCAACCTATCTTGCGGGCCTTTCTTCATCCAGCATTTGATGAGACGGTCCTTTGTTCACCTGCTTTACTTCACTGTCACCTTCAGATTATAAAGAGTCAAACTGGAGAAGCAAATGAGGAAGACGTAGCAAGTAGGAGACTCCTATATGATCCTCATTTGCAATCCTGCCCCTCAAAGCAAGTGAGGAGAAACCTAGCTCAACCAAGTCACAGAGAACAAATTATGAATTTACCCACCTTTTTGTATGGCTGCATTTTATGATCCTTGAAATCTTCAGTATATCAGCAGTGGCCTTTCTTCTGAGCATAGAAGTGGTCTTGTTACCCACCTTTTTATGTAACACTACTTGAAAACATGAGCCTGGCCTTAGAATAACTTTCCTCATCTGTCCTTCCCACCAAGCTCTTTTTGGAGTGGGAGGGTCATCATTCTTTTTTGTTTACCAATGCCTTCGATAGATAAGGAAAGGATTTGTAACACAAGGTTGCAGTTGCTAACATTCTTTTGTTGTAAGAGAGTAACGGCTGTGCAATGGCTCCCTGTTACTATATTTCAGCTGCTGTTCATTCTGTGGCATGTCCATGATTTCTTTATTAAAAATTGTGTAGCACTGTGCCAAAACGCTGTAGCTGAGAATAGTGTGATATCCCAAGATTTGGGGCCATTAATATAGGGCCTTTAAAAAAAAAAAAGAGTAGGGAGGGGATTGGATTTAGGGATGTTATAGTTTAACCAGTTTACTGATAAGCTGTAGCTTATCAGTTTACCTGTTAAACTCTGCCTGCCTGGGGAGTGACTGCCCGGTGCTGCGGAATCTGCAGTTTAACTTAGAGCCAACAGACTCCTGGCGCACACTGGCTCCTGGCAGCCAGCCACACTCCTGACTCTTCATTAGGAGCCGTCAGGCTCTGATCCGGCAGCTGGCCTCACTCCTGGCAGTGCCCACAGCGGGCTATACATCCTCAGGTAAAACAATTAACTGTAATGGATCAAACGATTTTTTTTTTACCTCCCTAGTTTGCATAGGAACTTAAACTGATTGTGTTGGTTCTAAGTTCCATTGGAAATTCACATTCATAAGTTTAACTGTTGATGGTATTGTATTGACTAACATCTAAATCCTAGCATGCGGATTAATAAAAGATGTCACAAAGTTAATTTCACATGTGAAAACCTTCTTGACTGCTACTCTGCATTTCAGTTTGTGGTATTTGTTGTCTTGGACAGAGGAGTGATTTGTCTAAGAGTGCCTAATTCTTTGTAAAATCTTAATGATTTATTCCATTTCGAGGTGCGTATTTTGATAGCGAAGACTGTCGGTCTTTGGAGACTAACATCTGTTCAGAAGTTCCCATCATAGTTGACATATCAATCTGCTTATTTCAGTGTGTCTTGTGCAAATATAAATCAGTGATGAATCCGCAGGTGTGCTCTACGTTGGGCAGACATGGCCACCTGTTTAGCCACAGCCTGCTTTCTTTGCTCCCACTTCTTTAGCTTGATTTACAGTAATTCCTCATTTAACACTCCAGATGTTTCAGAAAATGATCATGTTAAGTGAAAATGTGTTAT